GTGAGTTGGTATATACTTGTAATCTGGCGGGACGGAATTCTGAGTCCTGCCCGCGTCACAGGTTCTGTTTGATATCATTTTTTTCCTTATTCTGATGATCGGATGCTTAGTTTTTAAGTTTATCACTTAATTATGAATTGTTAGACTGTTTTCATTTTTAAAGGTCAAAGATCCATCAATCACTTATCTTCCCCCCACAGCACTTCTTTTTAAATAATTTTTTATTATAAAATTAAGGCTAAAATCCATAGACCTCCCCTCAACTTCAGATGAAGTGCAGATAGCACCTCTAACTTTTAAAACCTAATCAAATACTTCCCTGACCTTTTATTTATATGCACAACCCCTCCTTGTCTTAGCAGAACTAACGGATGTTGCCACACCAATTTTTTTTTTTTTGTGATTTTCCTACAATAAGTTTAGTTAAATGACATGTCTGGCATGGCTTAGGGAAGATAAATGAATGTTACGTTCCAAAATAATCTTCAATCTTTTCCTCATTTCCATGCAAATTCCTCAAACCTTTTTAGACCAACAAAAAAAAAAAAAGAGTATGGATCCACATCATAACTAGCCCCCACATACAAACACCTAGGTGCAGCTGACAACAACTTGGAGTTAAGGATGCAAAATTATATGCTTTAGCAACATAGTGGTAGGAGACTCCTTTGAACCTAAAATCTCGGCATCAGATTTGGCCAAGCTTTGAACTCATTGTGACGTTAATGAGTAATTTGTCACCTACAGATCTACTAGGGTTTGTGAGGGATTTTACAAAGTCTCAAGAATGGCCAAGAGGGTTCAATGACAATGTGGAATTGGCCATTGTAGAAAGTTTATGAACCTGAATAGAAATTATGGAGGTTGAGAATTTGATATATAATTGAGGAGTTTATAAGCTTCTATCTAGGCAATGATTAATATTTGGAAATCATGGTCTAGAAGAAAGATTTGGGAATACAGAATCATTTTAATGAAAAATTAGGCACAAGTACCTGATTTTTATATCTCTATCTTTAAGAAGTCCATTAATGTTGATGCACCTTAGCTATGTGTGATGGGAGAGTTTAATTTGGAGATATACTTGGTTGGTTTTTGAATGCTGTAAACCATATTCCCCATTTGTTGATGTTATTATGAAGGTCGGAGAAACTAATGTTAAGAGAAATTGAAGGGTTTCCATGACAAAGGTACAAGGATATCCGATTAGGTGCATGGATAAGTGCAAATTAAAGGGCTGATTCATTTACATTCATAGAATAACGTAACATAAATGCTGACCAAGCCATTTCACATGACATATCAACAAGATGTGGCAATATTCATACAATGTGGCAAAATATGTTAATGGTTTAACTGTTAATGAAAGAGCTTTTATGCATAAAAATAAAGATAAGGAAGGTCTTTAATCAAGTTTTAATGATAAGAGGTGTTAGGTGCACTTGATTTAAAGTTGATGGGTGTTTTATAAATTTTAGCCTAAAATTAAAAGTTACACATCTATAAATCATATGACTCTACATGTCATGATATATTCTTATTATGAAAAATTCAAGACACTCCATTCGAATGTTATATTATAATTATAACTAAAACTATTTTTATAATTTTGTTTAAATACGGCAACCATCTTTTTTGAACTTGTCACTTGATTGGTGAAACTAATTAAAATGCCCCCACCATCCACGTGAAAATTCCAATGCTTAAATAAATACATTTAAGTCGTCTGAACATTTTAAAATCTGTTTCTTAAGAAATTATTTTCTTAAAAGCAGTAAAAATATTATTAACAAATGTTAAATACAACAATTAAAAATAATTATTTGGAGCACTAATATGTTATTAAATAAGTATTTAATCAATACAACACTTACAAGTTACAATCTAAGATGAAATAAGAATCTAGTAAGTAATCAAGCCCGTATCTTCTGGCATAAAATGAATAACATCAAAAATTAAAGATGAGCTTATATATACTTGACATATCAATTTAATATTAATACTTTTGAAGACAGTTAGGTTTTAATTACGACAAATATCCACAAGCATGATTTTTTTTTTGTTAAATTCGCAAAGTTTAATCTTTAAACTCAAAACTTTTCAATTGTCTAAGTACTATTTTTCCTAATTATTATTGCAAGCTCTAGATGAAATTTTAAACGCATGGATTATTATGCCACGAAATGGATCTGGAATAATCTTTGAAAACTATACAGGGTGAAGTACAAAATCCGTTAAATGATAAAGTTGAAATCCATTATAAAGATTTTTCTCCCAATAGTTGTAAATGACTGTAGTATATTTTGTATTTATTATATGGCATCGAAAATAATATATCATATATAATATAGCTATGAAAATTAAATGATCATAGTCGGAAAATCAATTTGGTCCGTTCAATATGCATTTGATTTCATTTTTGGTGTGAAAAGGATCGGCTGGTCGGCGATATAGAAAAAGTCATAAAGTTTAAAGCCTCTGGTAAGTGTAAACCATATACTCCCTCCGTTTCACAAATACGAATTAATGATCGACCGTCAATGCGAGAATGACTTTCATTTTTTATCTTGGTTATTCAATTCTAGGCTAGCTAGTGTGTGTGTTCTCTTCCAAATTTAGAAATCTTTTTAAACAAATTAATTTATTTACAGTTTCACACAAGCTTATTGTTTGTTTCCATTGGCTTTTTTTTTTTTTTCGTTTGGTGGTTCAATTTGAGTCGAGTTTCCACGCGCGATTCGAGTTTCAATTTGAGTCGAGTTTAATTAATCTCTTATGAATTTCCACGCATTTTTATTAAAAAAAAGTGAAAAAAAAAATGATTGGAGCGAGTGTGAAGTGGGGAGGGCAAAAAAAAAAAAAAAACCCTCAAAAATCAAAGTCCTAACGTTTTCCAAAGGTGGGGTCCAGTTCTGGGCTCTGACGCAGACCTCACCTTATCTTCCTTCTTCGTGCGCCGACGATGATCCCCCCACCTCGCCGAAACTGTCTTTCCCTTGTAAATCTTACCGATTGTCAAGGCTAAAATCGTCTTTCTAGCCTTCCAAATATTTCTCTGACTATCTTTTATTCATTTATTTATTTTTTGATGAACAAGGATATCAGACAACAAAACTCTACTCTCTTTTATTTTATTGCCGCTGAAATATGCAGATTAACCAATGTTGGACCGCTTGGACCAACTAATCTCCGAATTAAAATTGAGTATAATAAATATATTAATTTAAATGTGCAAGTTTTTTTCTTTTTGCATAAAAAAATTTTCAAAGGAAATTGAATGCCAATTACTCTGTTGGTTAAAAAATATAAAATATTTTTTAAAGAGTTAGATATTTAAAAATGTAGTGTATTTTTAATCTTTTGATATATAATTATTATCTTTTTTTTAAAATATCTCTATTAATGAATAACTTTATATTATTATAGGATGTTTAATAGAAGTGAATATAAAAGATAGAGTTAATTTAAAAATAGTTAACTATTTTATTAAAAATAAAATTTTACTAAAAATAACTTACATTTTTAAAGAAGTAACTATTAAACAATGCATCAGTGTAAAAATAAGCACGTGCTATTGTCTTATGGCTGTACCAAGGATCCCAAACTGCATTAATGAGGATAGTAATTTGTATTTAAAATATAACAAATATATAGAATGTTAAATCATTACATGAAAAAGGAAAAATATTTAGCCATCCTACTTTATTTTATACTTTAATTTTAATTTAAGAGGACTGTTCACCTTTTATTTTCAATTTTAAAAAGACGTAAGGAAGTTTTTATTTTTTTATTTTGTAAAATCACTGAAAATCTACAATAAAACTAAAATTAAAGTTGCATCTCTTACGGCTGTTTTTTGCCAGCAAAACATTTTCTCTTATCAACAAAAAAAATGCATTGCTGCTGTATTTATCCCTTCGGTATTATAAAGAAGTTTTTGATAAGTACTATGAACTATCAACTATCAAGTTTAATGATATGCGTTAGTTTAAGTTTTTAAAATTCATTCATGGTAAAAAAAATGTAATTAATATATTGTCTTTTAAAATGTCTTTAATTAGTCATATAGTTATTGATTTTTTTAACTGAGATAATGTACTAAATAAATATAAATATAAAGAAGGAAAACAATATATAGTAAAAGAGCCTCTTTTTTATTTTTTGAAATTCCAGTGAGTCGATTAAGGGAATAAATAAGTTTCCAAAGATAACGTTATAGGTGCAATGCAATGTAAATGCCTGTAGCATCCTGTATAGGGATATAAGCAATGGCGGTGCCTCATGTAAATGAAGGTGGGCAAATGCCTTTATTTGAAAAAAATTACATATAATAAGTATTTAATTTTAATTATTTTACCCCTTTTTTTATATATTTTGCAACCCTTTTTTAATATTTTAAATATTAAATTTATTTTCATTCTTTCTTTAAATTTCAATCCAAAATATTCAACTTTTAAACTCAAAATATATCAATATAATAAATCTATATAATTGATTTTCCAATTATTAAATTATTTTAAATTATTAATTTTTTTGAGAGGAAATTACTTCTCTAAATCCTGGGTTCGCTGCTCAATATGAGGAGTGAATAGAATTGGCAAGACTGTAGCAAAAATACGTAGTAAGAGGACTGAATTTGTGCTAAAACTCAGGCCTCACTAATTGATCAGAATGTAAATTAGTTAAAAATGTTTTATCGGATCGATCAGAAGAAGATAAAGAACAGACGGCGCACTAATGTAATTTCAACCAAAATGCAGGGGCAAAATCGTCGATTTGACGTTAGGCAAGTGGACGGCGTTCGGTAATGGCCCTATATAATCAGATGCGATCCCGGTGGAGAATCATAGTCCCCGCCTTCCTGTTCTTCCTCAACGCACACCCCAGTAGTGGGAAGTCAGAGACAGACCGTTTTACGAAGACTCTCTCTCTCTCAAGGGCCCAAAAACAAGTAAGCAACTTTCATTTCACGTCTCTTTGAGCTGAGAAGGTCGTGTACAGCTTCGTCTTTCACCCCCCGTTTCTTCTCCCTCTCTCACTCGTAGCTTCTTGAGATCCCGCGTTTATTTCTTTTCCTTCATTCTATCTGTTTGCTGCCTCCTTAAAAGTACCTCTCCTTTTTCTGTCTCTTCTCTCTCTCTGACTGAGGAAGCTTCATTTTGTCGCCCATACCTGAAATACACCAGGATATCGTTGTCTGGGGTATTGTATTTCAATTCTCATGTTTCTGACTTTCGATTTTCTTTCATTTTTTCTTATCTTGAAAGATTCTAGTTTGCTTCGGTTTGCTCTTGAGAAGTTCTTTACGCAGTCCTGGTGGTTATCGTCGTCGTTTCTGTTGAAATTGAAGCAAACCCAGATGAATTCTGCTGCCTTTTCTTGTGTTTTGTATCAACTTTACTGTGAACCAAACAGGGCATGATTCCGTTGACTTTTTCTTTCTTTTCTTTTTTCTTTGTTTTTTAAACAGAATTTTCTCAAGCAACTGGAGAAGTCCTTGTTCTTCTATTCCGAGTTCTCTCTGTTCTCTATCTAAACCAATACTGCTAATTATCTCTAAATAGGCCTTGATTTGCTATCTCAAAATCTCATCTTTATAGATTACTTTCTGTCGTCGTCTTCTTTTCTTACGGACCACTTTTTTTTTTTTTGCCCTTTTTTACATCTTGCTTTTTTGTGTCTCTACAGTTTGCTTAGTCATTAAATTTGATCACTGTGCTCTATTTCCTGTCAATTCTCACTCTTATTGTAGAAATTCATCGGTTCGATATAATTTCAAAGAATTGGCTCCTCCCTCCTTCTGTGTGTGTGTGAAAGTTGTGTTGACTTTCCTGACTTTCGTCAAAGCAAGAAGAAACGAAACTATCAAAACTGGGTGATGTTATCTAATTTTTTTTTTGGATCATCCTCCTCTGGGTTTGTCTGAATTCTTACTTCATCACCTTCTAGGCTTCTGAATTGGTTTTTTCCCTTTCGCTCTCTATTCCTGTGGGCTGCAATTTTTTTTTCCCCTTCTCTTTGCTCCTTTCAGAGGTTCATTGTACACGTAGAATGTTAATTTCTCTTCGTTCTTGCAGAGTTAAAAATGGACCTCTGTTTTCTGGAGTACTACTCATCTTGGTCCATTAGCGAGGAAAAATGGGCGGCAAGAAAAAGTTAAAAAAAAAAATATCCACAAATGAATCTAACTGTTTGGCTGTTTGGTTTTTATCCTGCTTTTATCTTTTCTGATGCAATGTATGTTTAATATGTTTTGGCTTTTTCTGCCATCACTCTCAATATACTTTGACTTTTTCCCCACTTCACTCTTTCCTATTCGGACTTTTATTTGACGAGTCTGAACGAAACAAGAAAAATAATTGTTCGGTTCATTGTCTATTTAACTCTGATTGCTTTCTTTGCTTTCTGATATAGCGGCGCTTGAAGGTGTGTGAATAAAAATGTTGGAAAAGGTGGAAGAATTCAACATGGACAAAGTGATTGACGAGTTTGAGGAACTCACCAAGGATGCTGAAAGGGTTCAGAGGGAGACGCTTAGAAGGATCTTGGAAGACAATGCTTCAGCTGAATACTTGCAGAATCTCGGTCTTCATGGAAGAACCGATCCTGAGAGTTTCAAGGCTCACGTCCCTCTGGTTACCCACAAGGAATTGGAGCCTTATATCATCAGAATCATTGAGGGCGATGCCTCTTCCATTCTCACTGGAAAGCCAATCACAACAATGTCTTTAAGGTCAGGCTCCCCCCCCCCCCCCCCCCAAACCATTTCAACGGCTATTAGTTGAGTAGAATCTTATAGAGACGCTCTTGCAGTTCTGGAACTACACAGGGGAAGCCAAAGTACGTACCCTGGAACGATGAATTATTTGAAACCACAATGCAGATATATCGGACCTCTTTTGCCTTTAGGAACAGGTATTCAAGTTTATTTTTCCCTGTGGCTTCATTTGTTTAGTATGAAAATATTTTCAAGAGAGGATTTTCTTGCAACAATTGTTTAATAGAAAAAGTTTCTGCTTCCTTGACTTCCATAGTTGCTGCGAAGGTTGGACAAAATACTTTTTCTTCTCTTGTTGCTTCTCTTCACAAAGCTTTTCCTGGGAGCTGTATCTGACATAATCTTATTACGCAGAGAGTTCCCAATAAAAAATGGTAAAGCCTTGAGCTTTATATATAGCAGCAAGCAGTTCAAAACAAAAGGTGGTCTGGCGGCTGGAACTGCCACAACCAATGTGTTCCGAAATGCGCAGTATAAACATGCAATGAAGGCACTTCAGTCCCAATGTTGCAGCCCAGATGAAGTAATATTTGGTCCAGATTTTCATCAATCATTGTACTGCCATCTGTTGTGTGGCTTACTTTTCCGTGAGGAGGTCCAGCTGGTGTCTTCTACATTTGCACATAGCATTGTCCATGCATTTAGAACCTTTGAGCAAGTTTGGGAAGAGCTCTGCAGTGACATCAGAGAAGGGGTCCTCACAAGCAGAGTCACCGTTCCATCCATTCGAATGGCCATGTCTAAACTTCTTAACCCAAACCCGGAGTTAGCTAACCTGATTGGAAAGAAATGTATGGGACTGAGCAACTGGTATGGGCTAATACCGGAGCTTTTTCCCAATACTAAGTACATCTATGGGATCATGACCGGGTCAATGGAGCCTTATTTGGAAAAGTTGAAGCACTATGCTGGGGATTTGCCTTTATTGACTGCTGACTATGGGTCTTCTGAAGGATGGATTGCAGCAAATGTGAACCCAAAACTACCCCCTGAATTGGCCACTTATGCGGTGCTTCCTCATATTGGTTACTTTGAGTTCATCCCTCTCACTGAGCTGGAGCAAACCAATTTCCTCGGTGTTGATCCTCAACTGGTGGGCCTGACTGAGGTGAAGGTTGGTGAGGAATATGAGATTGTTATCACCAATCCAGCAGGTACTGAATTTTTCTCTAGCTATTTATTTCTTTTAGGTGTTAAATCAGGATACGCATTACATGCTTCATTGATGTTGTAATGAATTAATTAATTATTTAAGAATTTGACCTGGAAAATGAAACTCCTTCACATATTCTTTTAGAAAAGTGGCCTGCTGGGATTTTATCTAATTTTCTTTCTTCTATTTTGTCTGTTCCCTATGGGTCGAAAGAAGTGGGTGATGCTCATATTTATTACATGCCCTTCATGGGACCTACTGGGCTTGTTTTTCTCTTGCTGTCTACCTAATCAGATGAATATCACACATAGCATAGTCTTGCAAGGCAGGTGTTTGTTAGTTATTGGCCACTAATATTGGATTCGCACGTGCTCTGTCTTATGCAATGAGATTTTGTACCTTGATCTTATCTTCTTGTCATTTGAGCTTTTCACTTTCAGCATGGTTCAAGCCATTTTTGAACTCATTCTTTAGGCTTTAATTGCAGAAAAGGCACGCTTACAGGATCCTTACTTATTCGTACTTGATATATTTTTTGCAAACTTTCTGGACATATAAGCTGAGTAATTTTACCAAACATGGCAGAGCAAGATTGTGCTGATGACTTGTATTATCCATATATTGGAAGTATAGCTAGTCAATATTGGTCATTATTCTTACAACTTCTGAGACAATGTACAGGTCTGTATCGGTATCGGCTTGGGGACGTGGTCAAGGTCATGGGGTTCCATAACTCAACCCCAGAGCTCAAGTTTGTTCGTCGTAGCAGCCTTCTGCTTACGATTAACATTGACAAGAACACTGAGAAAGATCTGCAGTTGGCTGTAGAGGCAGCAGCCAAACTAGTAGCAGGAGACAAACTGGAAGTTATTGACTACACAAGCCATGTGGATTTATCCACTGAGCCAGGGCACTATGTGATCTTCTGGGAGATCAATGGTGAAGCTAGTGAAGAACTACTTAGTGAATGCTGCAACTGTCTGGACAGGTCTTTCGTTGATGCAGGCTACACCAGCTCTCGCAAGGTTAACTGCATTGGGGCCCTCGAACTCCGAGTTGTCAGGAGGGGAACATTCCAAAAGATATTAGACCACTTCCTAGGATTAGGAGCTGCTGTCAGCCAATACAAGACACCAAGGTGTGTAGGCCCCACGCATGGCAAAGTGTTGCAAATCTTGAGTGAGAATGTTGTGAAGAGCTATCTCAGTACTGCTTTCAATTGATGAAATCACTGTAGAAAAAAATATTGCAATTTGCAAAACTTTCTTAATCTATCAAATCCCACAACTATCTTCAACCTTTTGTCTCGGGACAAAATTTAGGTGCAGTTCTTATAGTAATTGCCATCAGCTTTCCCAGTAAAAATACGCCATCTAGATATTCTTCATCGTTTAAACATTACATGTGGCCATATATATTCAAAAGAGAAGTCATAACAAATGTCCAAAGAACTGTATGAGTCTTGTCCAGAAGCTTTTCGCCATATCCATTTCTCTTTGCTCTGCTTCAAGTCTCTGTCTTTGTGTCAATGGCGTCGTATGCTACAGATATCCGACAACAGATTCCTTCTTGCCGCCCTTATCATCTCTGTTTCTCCCTCTGCAAATGCCAACTATTATTATAAATTATGGGAGACCATTTTGGATAGAAATCCACATGTAATGTTGGTGACGAGAAATTAATGTTGGATCTCTATCCATAACTGTCTGATATGAGGTGAAATACTGGAATATAATATGAATATCGATCTAGTTGTCTCTGAACATACTGAAAAAGAACCCAACAAGTTGGATAGAATAATTCTAGGTAGATTTCCATTTACAAGCAATGAGTAGATTCATTTAATTAATAGTGGCAATATGCGTGTACTCATGAATCATAACTAACCTGTGCTTTTTATCATTGAAAAACCAGGTCAGGCTTCTAGTTAAAAAAAATGTCGGGTTAAATTCACACGTGGGATAATGATGTAAAAACCACCATGTAAACAGCTCAAAAGCCAAAGGAAATATTAAGTACATAATATTAAAGCTGAAGGGCATAAGGGTGACTTAAAATAAACGATTCAAGCAAGCAATCATTTAGTCAGAAACAACTAACAAGTCAAACAATCAAGAAAGCAATCATATTCTTGGAGAGAGAGATAAAAATGAATTAAATTGAAGGATATGGTGCTAAAAGAAGAGGTTGAATAAACAAATGATTGCCAAGTTTTTCCAACTTGCTGCAGAGAGTGGAAGACAAAAAGCAAGGGACAAAGCTAACTTAGCCGAAGTACTAGAAAAATACTGCTTGCGCGTGCCTAGCTATCCTTTTAATTGTGCTCAACGCTCCTAGGACTAACGATGAACCATTCATAGTAACACACGGCAAACGACTAGAACAAAAGACAAATAAGCTTTCACCATCGTGATTCTTCTGCGTAGCTATCCGCTTTGACGTGTGTGCGTGTGTGTGAGAGAGAGAGAAGAACTGCGATTAGAAGGCCAATTAAAAATTCCAAAGCAGTCAAGTGGATGTTACAATGAGCTAGTGTGTGTAGGAGTGGTTGCGTTGTAGTAGACTCTAGAACGGAACAAGTCCTCATCTGCAAAAGTGATGCCTTCATTATTGTTTCCAAGGTGAAAGTTCAGAGGGACAGGCCAATTTATGGCTCTTCTGTTGGCTAAGGCAAAAAAGTTTGAATCTATTAGAAGTTCGAGTTTTGTGGATAAGGGTAAACTTTGTCAATGAAGAATCTCCATACTTTCGCTAGATCTTCCGTGTACTTTCATGAAAACTTCTTTTTCGAATATAGGATTAATAAATAATACTCTGAGAAAATCACATATAAAAAGATATGATAATAAATTTTTACTATAAGAATTAATAACAAACTCCAAAAAAAATTTCATATTTTTATTTTAATAATAATTTATTTTATATTAATCTTTATTTATAGATAAATTTTTCATCAGGTCCTTGAACGTTCCTACTTGCTGGTACTTTTACCATATCAATCATATGAAGGTAAAGACTTACGATGAAAGAGAAAAAATATTGCTTATTCCCCCCCCCCCCCCAAAAAGAATCCTTCTTTTTGCTATAAAAAAAACTCTTGTTTAATTTTTGGTTAACCATAATATTTCCTGCAAATATTGGAAAATTTTTTTGCATAAAAGATGATAACATAATAAAAAATATTACATAATTACTCAAAAAAAGATTACATGAGGTTTCTCGTATTGAGCATATATCTTTTCCTTTCATCTTCAAATATTGAAATTGAAAAATACTCATTGAACGATAATTCACTTTTATTTAACTACTACTTTTGTGAATTACAATATAATATATTTTTTAAAAGTTTTACTTGATTCAAAATATAAGATATTAGATAATTTTTATAATTATTTTTTTAATTATACCCCTACTTTAGTTATTACTTATTTTAAAAAAATGATGGATTAAAATTTTAATTATCTTATCAAAGCATTTATATAGGATATTTAATGAGGGTAAAATATAAAATATGTGAATTTTTTTAAGAAATTAATATTTTAACTAATAATTTTTATAAAATGTGAATTAGTTAATAATGCATTATATTTTAGTCTGGAAGGAGTATGTTAGATTGTTTAAGTTTCTATTTTTTGATTGATTTAAAAATCAAATTTTACATTTGATTTTTCTTAATTTCCAGTTGTTAGAAAATGTAGGATTGAATTTTTTTAAAAAATAATAAGAATAATTTTAGATGGAAATTCTAATAACGCACTGTGCAAATTTTACCCATTGACTTTTTCAAATTTCCAGTTGTTAGAAAATGGAGGATTGAATTTGTTAAAAAATAAAATAAAATAATTTTAGATGAAAGGTAAATGTCCAAATTTGGCTCTCAATTATTTTTTTAAGAGTATTGGATAGCATCTAATATTCTCCGTTAATTTTAATTTAACAAACATTAACTTTTCATGTGGGCCCCATAAATTTTTGATTGAAATGACATGTGACACTCCGCCTCAACAAATAAAGATACTAATCTAGGTATTAACTATTTTTTAAAGAATACTAGGTAGCTTTTACTATAAAAAATAGACCATCCATTACATTCCCATCAATTTTGACCAAATGTCATTTTTTTTGAACTTATGATACCCACAACGCGTCAATATCTTCAGTCTTCTTACGTTTATTCTCAATCCCAACTCAAAAAGAAGAGGCTCAAGGAGTACTTATACAAAAACATTCACAAGGATAATGCCAATAAAAAAAAAAGAAGAAGAAGAAGAGAAGGTTTTGTTTAAATCTTTATAGCAATTCAAGCGAAATAGCAATTTGAATTACAATGCTATTACGTATGGGAGAAGCTTGATTCAATAGCTTCATTTTTTATAAAAATAATTCATGGCTAAATCAAACTTGAATCAAGCTTCTCCCAAGAGTAAAAGCACTGTAATTCAAATTTTATCGAGTTGAGATTGAGAATGAAAGAAAAAAAATTGAAGAAATTGACATGTTGTGGGTCATATAAATTTAAAAATAAATGACATTTGGTCAAAGTTGACAGGAAGGTTTTAGACAGTCCGTTTTTTAAAGTTGGTAATTTTCTTTGCACCATCCAATAGTGGTAACTACCCAATGCTCTTCGAAAAATAATTCAGGATTAAATTTGCACTTTTACCCATCCTAAAGTGGATTGTCGTGTGTCATTTTTAGTCAAATTTTATAGGCCCAACTTAACATTCATCAAGTGAAATTAACAGTGGGCACTAAATGCTCCATTTGTAAAAATTAAAAAAATTATTTTATACCACCTCATAGTATAAGCCATCTAATGTTTTTAAAAAAATAGTTGGTGATCAAATTTTTATCTTTACCCTTGATGAAAGTTCTAATAACATATTGTAGATAAATGAAAACATGTCCTATGCCATGGGGCCGTGAAAAATGAAAGAGACATCTTAATTAAAAAGATTGCATAGCTGAAAATAATGATATATGTATTTATTTATTTATTTATTGAATTCTACAATACTCAAGACATGTACTTATATTTTTTATTATTAAACAAATGGTTTAATAAGCATTTTAGATCTTGAAGTGTTACGTAAAAAGCATTTTAAACTTTAAAATATTAAAATATGTAAAATGGATCATAAATTTTTAAATTCTTAGCAAATCACTCCTCACCGTAGCAAATCACTCCTCACCATTAACTTATATTTAACGCCATTATTATTCATCATTGTTATTCACTATGAGGCCCAGTCAAATACTGATGTGACAGTCTCTTACTGATATGTCATCTATTAAGAGTACTATAGACCTTAAATTATTGTGTGAGTAACTTCTTAGATCTTGAACTTTAAAATTCAAAGCAAATTACCTCCACTATTTATGTATAGAACATTAACTATTGTATAAATGAAATTAGCCTCAACATGGTCCGTCACGATGAACGACCCAAAATTTTGTGAAATGACTTTTTGGCCCTTTTTTTACAATGTTTTTAAATAATTGATATCTTATACTTCTATATACTCTATAACTTTGATTTAGTCTTATTTTGAATAATCTTTATTTATTTAATGGTGAAAACTGATGATCTCATTTAAAAAGAAATTTAAGTATCTTAGAATTTTAATTAACTGGTTAATTTGGGTTTGAAATTCGTAATGAAATTGTTGACTTTTGCAATCCATTGTCTATAAAATTCTCTAATATTTAAACATTTTTTTACATGGGATCTCAAGTTTTTACCATTAAATAAATAAATATTATTCAAAATAAAATTAAATCAGAGTTATAGAATATATAGAAGTATGGGATACCAATCGTTTGGAAAATATTGAAAAAAAAGAGGCAAAAAAGGTCATTTTACATAATTATGGTCCGTTTACCGAAGCTAAAGATGTGTTCACCACAGCAAATCACGCTGAGGCTATTTTGGTCCATATAATAGTTAACATTTTATACATAAATCATAGGGTAATTTGTTTAGGGTGCCTACTCATACAATAGTTTAGTATCTACGGTACTCATTAACCAATTAATGACACATTAAAGGAATTACCACATCAACATTTGACTAACGCACATTAACAAATTAACGACGTTAAGTATAAGTTAATGGTGGGGGTTAATTTGCTATGAGTTTAGAAGTTTAATGCCTATTTTACATATTTTAGGAGTTCAAAGTCCATTATACTTTTTGTGTAATATTTCAGGGTCCGAAATGCTTATTAACTCTAAACAAATTACCAATTGTATCCTTATAAATAGTCAAATAAATATTGGAAAATAAAGCAGATAATA